GCAGAGTAGAGGGGAGGTGAATGAGAGCATAGCAAAATACAAAAGGCTAACAGCAAACATCAAAGAAAAGAAATGAGCAGAGTGCCAAAACTTGTAGAATTAAAAAAGCCAAAGGCTGTACTGTGTAGTGTCTCTCAAGAGATGGAGTGAGAGGGGGCTCATTGCTTCTAGGGGTCTGAGAAGCAGCTGGTAAGGGTTTGCTTATAGTCAGCAGAGTGGGAGAGAGATAACATTTTTTGAGGATTAGACGCAGGAAATCAAAAGCAGCACCAAATAAAGAAGAAAATGCAATGGGCTGTCCATACCCTAGGGAGGTGGGGTGGGAGGGGAGCAGAGTGAGAGAGAAGGGATTATGAAGAAGTGAAGGGCAGTGAGGAGAAGGGTGAGGGCATGAGGTTAGGCTGCAACGGCAAGAGGCAGTATAGATGTCACTGAGATAGAGAAGCAGTGTGCGTTAACTCCCTTTAGGTGTCCTGGGCAGGTCTTGTTAAGATAATTGATTCTTGCTTTCAGCTGTAACTTTGTTAGTCAGATGCTGACCGACATCTGCTGCCTCACCAGCCAACAAGCTTCTCTGTTTGTACTCTTGTAAAGTGTTGCAGTTATAGAAGCGTATGGTAATTGTTTGTCCAGTCAGCAGTTCAAAAACCCCATAAGCTACATTTCTCTACTATGGTGAATATTAAGATAAGCAGGCTGAGAGAAGAGGAGAGAGGGAGCAGTGCAGAAGGGAAAGGGGTGGTTGTATGCGTGTGTGTTTGGGGGTGGTTGTGGTGTTGCATCACAGGAAACAAGCTTTCCATCCCGCAGTTGAATGTGACCCTTTGGCCCTGGATCAAATGCTCCTCTGGGCTGAATACCATGAAGCCTCTGTCCTCTGCACCACACACAGCTTTGCACTGCACGGACCGTCTGATTGCCTGCAGCAGGGGGGCAGGCAGAAGTACAGCAGGAGGAGTACAGCAGGCAGGGAAAAGTACTCCAGGAGTAAGAAGGAAAATGGGAGAAGACAACAAAAGCAATGATCAAGTCAGAGGAAGGAGAAACTATCAACACTCAACATATAGCACAGACCTATGAGCTGGCTGTAAACACATGATTGTTCTCTGAAACCCCCCAGACACACATCTTGTTGCACCCTAAAATGTGAAACCAGAGACGCTCACTCGCTCCGACTCACATGTCTCTGCTGCCTGCCGACTGGCAAGCAATTGAATCGGGGAGAAGTCGCTCCTATTTTTAGCCCCACGCTCGATGGAAGGATGGAAAAGCAAACGGACAGTAGCTGCACGCACACAGATAGAGAGAGAGAGAAATAGCAAGAGGCAGCCTGTGACGACGAGAGAGGGAGTGAAAGGAACAGAGGAAGGAGCAGGAGGGACCTATTTGTGAAGTTCTGTAAGCTTGGATCACTGGCTCATTGCTGTCTGAGGAAAACACATGGCTGGACTGGGCACTGGGCAGAGCTGGGAGGCTTCCTTTGCTACAAACAGCAGCCCCTAACCAGTCTACAGGCTTTTCTCAGATAATCTAAAACTACTTGAGTTCTCTTTTTGCACACTGAAGTGCCACATGAATGCCTCTTTGCCTTCTTGAGGGAGCTGGAAGTTAATGAAGAGGCTGACAGGAGGATTGCCTCGCCATGGAATGTAGATTTACGTACAAGACTGTAGGAAGTTTTTGTTCCCCCTCTCAGGTTTGGAGCTGCGGGATCCGAGAAGCGTATGTGCTTCTTAGAATTCCCACAGAGGCTTGGGATGTCAAAACTGGGAGGATTGTGGCTCTGGTGATGGTTTAATAGATGAGCGCCTGGCCGTTCAAACGCGTATGCAGTTTTGTTTTGTTTGTTTGTTTGTTTGTTTTGCACCTACACAAATCTACACCAAGGAATTCAGGATGCAACGCTTTGACAAGCTGAAAAAGTCAATCCCCTTCCTGGCACACTTTCACGTTTATCGAGTAAGTCTGGTGTCTCTCTGGAGTCTGCTCTGTCACTCTGAGGGGGTTTTTCGGTAATATGCAGAGGGTTATTGAAATACTAATCACGTGATTGTGACTTTACTCAAATATTTGAACTCAGTATATGGTGTGGTAGAGGTCAGTACATGTGTGTGCACGCGCATGGACTCCAGCTGGACTGAGGTCGTCCTCTGAGACGGGTTGTTGTTATTGCAGCAGGATGTTAGAGCAGAACAGATCTAACACAGGACATGGCTTTGGCCAGGCGGTTGTGTGTGTGTATTTCTCCACCACAGTGAGGAATGAGTTCAGGCCAGAGGTATTTCTCAGTAGAGACATCATGTTGTTTCACTCCATTTAAATTCCTACATCCCTCCTTAACCTCTCTGAACCCTCACTGAAAGGCTATTGACTATGCCTCTCATTTTGTAACATTTCTACAATAAACAACACTATTTTGAGGCCTAATACTGGATGACTTACCCTGTTTGGATTTGTCAGTCCTGTCTCAGGTCACACTTAAGAGTCTCAAAACAGCATTCCTTCTGTTGACGTCACACCTCCTCAGTGTATCTTCCTCCTTATCCCCAGTATAGGATAACTCAAGATACAAAAGGTATTTTATGTATGACAACATCTACAAAGAAAGGAAGGACAGCTCATCATTGCTCTCCTCTACAGATGTGATTTGATAGCGTCAGCTGGTGAACCGTTTAGATTTATCCTAATTACATCAATCCAGTTCTTATTCTTTTCTATTTTTATTCTACTTTATTCTATTTTAGTTCCTAAATGTTATGGCACCCGATGCTAGGTGAGAGAGAAACGGTATTTTGATTTTCTGTACGTCCTGCACATATGGTGAATTGACAATAAAATACTTGAACCTAGACACAATCCACCTTGAACACATCTATTAGTGGATGTCTGACACCTTATTTACATGCAGCACCTATCTAAAGTGTAAGATACTGTATGTATATGGATGTTTGGTGAATTAGTTTTCAAGTTGACAAAGAAATATGCTAAGGACCTAAACCTTGAATCTGCTCCCTCATTCTTCAGCTGTAACACTGTCATAGAAAGAGGTCCAAGAGGAAGCTGACTTGTCTTTGGCACGGTCCTGTGAAATAACGCTTCCATGGTGACTGCCAGGGCAGATCAGCTGTGTTATGAAGGTTAAGAAGAGGGACAGTTATTGGTGTAGGAAGATGTTGTGTTTTATACAGTAATGCATTTTTAATGGTTTTAAAAGCAAAGAGTTTGTTTGTTAAATTGTTGTCAGGGAAAACTTTAGGTTTAAACTCTGATTTACATTGATCTCAGATCAAATAAACACAGCTCTTGGCAGAAGAGCCTTTGGCACAGCTTAGCACATAGTGGGCCAGCCAAACAGACCATTGTATCGTCTTTCTTAGGGTGAGGGTCAGGCATGATGCAGCAAAATGCAAAATATATTGATGGATTCAGATAACTGCAGCTGTAGTTAATCCTCCAACCACAGGCACTACCAGCACTCAGTTTACCCCACAGTACATTTCATGACTTTGTATTGCCTTGGGTTATTTACTTGTTGCTTCTGCTTCCAATGAACAAGATGATTTCTGTCCAAGCTATCACCACAGAGCTTTTTTCACTGTGTGAATTTTTGCAGAAACAAGTGGACAAAAACTCCTGCTGACTCAGAGCCAAAGCTGCATGAGCAGACATTGCTGAAGAGCTATTGGCTGACCCACTTTTATGTGCATTGCAATGACTTTGTATCAGAATAGGGACATGACCGCTGGGGATTGAGCCCTCCCAGCAGATGGGCCTCAGTCAGATCTTGCATCTAAAATTCATGGAAAACACAGGACGACTCAGTCTGAAAAGGCACGGCGAATGGGTATTTTCATGCAGACTTTATTTTTATGGCATAAAGTAAGGTGTGTGTGTGAGTGAGAAAGATGTCGAACTCCTCAAGACAAGGTCTTAAAGCAATGGGAAGTGACCTCTAACCAAGCCCATTAAGAAATTTAAAGCACAGGGAGGAAGTTGTGACCCCTCTGACACATTCCTCTGGACCTTGTAACCTTGCCTCAGCAAGCACAGGAAGTTCCTCACTCAGAGAGTTTAATTACTACTCAGTGTAGTGACCCCTGCAGCCCAGAGCACCCACCCCAGAGACTTTGGTGTCCGTCTCTACAGATTAGGAACATGTCATTTTTTGTGTGTTGCTTAGGTAGGTTTATGGGTTTACTTACCCGGTGGGACTGGGAATAAAACTGTGGGTAAGTGTAATGGAAGGGTTATTTCTTGCTGTTACAATAAATTTAACTCATCATCCTGACTAATAGCGTTATGCAGAAGTACATCAAGACTTAAGGTGGATTTCAGCTAAATGTTTTGTTACTTTCAGCTGTTTAAGTATACGGTGATGGGTTATGTTTTAAGTGGAGTGGGGCCTGTGTTTTGATGTTGAAGATTGATTGTCAGACTCAGTGTTGTATGGAGGGGATGTAGTGTGGTGCCAGCAAATGTTTTAGAGCAATGCTACTAAAAATGCAACTTTCTTTTTATGAAGACAATTTATTAATCTATTTACTGAATATCTTAAAGAAGCTATACTGCAGCCCACGCGGTATATTAACACCACAGAATCTATGTAAATGGTACCTACCTGGGTAGGTCAGTGTGCAGTCATTTCTCAGCTCACTGACAAGTAGCTCAGGCTATATTTGACTGCTCGCCCTCCATGCCCTTATGTGATGTCGGTTTGGGGAACCGTGTGTGTGTTTTACATGTTTATGATTGCCCATTTGATATGTGGCCTCAGGAGGTCTTTCAGTGTGCTGGAAAGCACACAACGCCTCTGAGCTCAGTTTCCTCTTATTTTCTTTTTTTTTTCTTACAAAAAAAGAACGGTTGGTTTGTTGTACAGTGACGTTCTTTCAGGTTGTATTTTGCAGATTTTAGACCAAGCAGTGAGAAAGTACTGCATGAATACTAAATGCTGAATTATTTAAACTCAGTTTCTTGTATTCTGTCCTTATGTTTTGCAGAAACTGGGCAGTACCATGCAGTGTGAGGAAGGCACAGAATGGCTGCTTGAGTTGCTGATGGAGGTGCAGTTGCAGCAGTACTTCCTGAAGATCCGAGATGATCTTAACGTCACACGGCTGTCACACTTTGACTATGTCAAGAATGAAGACCTGGAGAAGATTGGCATGGGCCGACCTGGTGAGATATGTGTGTGCAGGTTTTGTTGTGCTAAAAAAATATTGATTTGTCTGTATACCGTGTTCATAAATCATTGTGTAGCTGTAGTCTAGACAATTGTATTCTAAAATATGTCCCAGAATGCACATAACACCTGTCACATTATACCTGATGGATGCCTCCCCTTTCACATTATTTCCACATCACTTTCTAGCAGTGTGAATCTAGTGAGGCAATGTTGGTCTGTTTTAGTCTGTCAGTTTTGTGCAGACATTCATAGTTCTCTGAGGATGAATCCTACGGACTTAGGGTTCCCAGGAAGTCCAAGAACTTTCCCTGGGGTAAAGGCCCCTTAAGTGCATTGTAATTTGGATTTCTGCAGCACAGCTAAAGCCCCAGGAGGTTTAAACAAATGAAAATGTACAATCTCAACAGCTACATTTGACCAGTCAGCACCATTCATCATAAATCACTGTAGGCCTCACCTCGATAGTTCTTTGGCCTTCCCAAAGTACTACCCTCCACCAAGGAACTTTTTTTGAGGGGTGGAACTATGCTCTGGAACTAAATGTAGCTGATTCCTCTGGTGGAAACACAGGTAGTGGAACTAAGTTCTGCAGATGTTCCTGTTCCCTTGGGGAAAGTTCCTCTGGTGGGAATGGCATTTTGCTGATCTCTTGACTTCCCATCTTGTCACCATGACACGTTTGGTTTTGAACGTAATATCTTGTCAATTATGGGATGGACTGCCATGAATTTACCACAGATATTCTCTAGGATCCAGGAAAAACTGTAGTGATCCCTGAAATTTTATACTTGACATTCTTATTGGCTTCTGTTGTACATTGCGTGTTAATTAGCAAATGTTATCATGCTATCATACTAAACTAATATGGTGAACATGGCTACATTATACCTGCTAATATTAGCATGTTAACCAAAAATTGTAGATGTTGATGTTTAGCTCAAACATTATAGTGCATAAATACACCACACAGCCATAACATTATGACCACTGAGAGGTGAAGTGAATAACACTGACTATCTGTTAAAGTGGCCTCTGTCAGTGTGTGGGGTATATTAGGCAGCAAGTGAATATTCAGTCCTCAAAGTTGATGTGCTGGAAGCAGGAAAAACAGCCATGCATAAGGATCTGAGTGACTTTGACAAGGGCCAAACTGTGATGGTGAGATGACTGGGTCAGAGCATCTCCCACACTGCAGGTCTTGGTGGATGTTCTTGGTCTGTAGTGGTTAGTACCTACCAACAGTGTCTAAGGAAGAACAAATGGTGAACTGGTGACAGGGTCATGGACGACCACGGCTCACTGATGATGAGGTTACCCTACTGTAGATTAAACTTTTAACTTCCATTTGTACTTTTCAAAAGACTAAAATCTATTTGAATCTTTGTTAAAATGGTTGAAAATGAGAAATAGTGTACATTGGTCTCTATGAAGAGAAAGAGTCAGGGGCTGTAGTGGTGATATCACACCTACAGCGGTGAGGCTGTTGAATTTGTCTAAAGAATTCTCTAACTTGTCCTCACGACCACAGTTTTCACTCCTTTTACATACGTTTTTCACTGAATTGTAGACACATCTGTGCTCTTCCTGACAGTAGAACTGTGGAAGCAACTGGCATCACAGAAGTGAGCTGCAGAGTGACAGGAGTGCCAACCAACTGCCACATTGACTCCTATGCAAACAGTATTAGGGCAGGTGGTTGTAACGTTATGCCTGATTGGTGTATAGAACTGTTAGCATGGCTGTAGCAGAGCACATGAACAGAGTGGAGCGATGAGAATTTCTGCTCCTCGCTCATAGAGCTCTTCACCCACTCAAAGTTGCACCAGGCCGCTCTGCTCATTAATGTTCAGATTGTACTCCGCTCCATTCAGATTGCACCCACTCACTTCAGAAATGGGGAAAAAAAATCTGCATGTATTTCACTTTTAGCTTAAACCGTAGCCTTACACCCCAAAGAACTAAAGTACTTTTTTCTAAATAATTATTTATTTCAAATTACAGTTAAATGTATGTAACAATGACTCTAAGACAAAAAGTCATATGAAAAATCCAATGACTCAATGGGCCTAATTAAATAAGAATATACAGTACAGCTGTATAACCTTTCACTTTCCTTTTTAAAGTACTTTAGGAACTCCATTATTGAGCTCGCAATGGCTGATTTTTGACTGAAAACTGTTGGATGACTGTGCAAGATGGATGCATTCTGGGCTGGACTTGGAACAGGAGTTAGGGTGATGCTTGCTCTGCGCTCTGTCCAAAATCTGTCTGCTCACATGCTCTGGGTTGTAGACTCTGAGGCTTGCTTTTACTTATCTCTTTATAGACTGGAAATGTACAGCAACCATACAGTCCTAATCCTAAACTGTGGCTTGGATGTTTCTTCAGTAGTCACTTATACAGAGAATGGTGGTAAAAATCCATTTGGCAGATCAGTGACTGAATTTCTGAAGCTGGCAAGAATGCTAATGTCTAACTGCCTAATCTTAACCAGGCAGCATCAGCTCCTCTCTTTTCTCTATTTACTCTAGCTACCATGTTGTAAAGTAGCCTTTGCCTCCACAGGGGCAGAACTCCTGCATTTTTCTAAATGCAGTGGTAGTCTTGACTCATGCATATCATTTTCAGTCATTAATTATACACAGCATAGGGATTAAAGTTGTTTAAGTTTAATGAATAGTATCCTGCCAGTATTCTCTTGGCTTTTGTACAACTTGATATAGTGATATCCTACTATGTAATCTATATATAGCCTGAAGTATTACTTTTGTCTGCTATAATGGCACCTTGTAATTAGGCTCCAGCATAACTGAAGCAAATCCTCCATAACTAATACCCTTAATATCATTCATAAGTTGTAACTGATAATTAGGCACAATAGGAGGAGACATTACTGTGCCAAGTCTTTTGTCTGTGCTACGTGGGTGTGTGTTGAAGGGGATGGTAGCAGTAATATTCTAAATCCAGTTACTGAAACCCTCAGGGCCTCGGTTTCTGAGCCGCTTAAGACTAATTAAACCCACTTCTCCTACCCACAGACTCACTGACATCTTTGCCCTCCACTCACCTCACTGTTCTCTGGGTCATAGACCTTTCTTACTTTTATTTGCTGTTCTTTTTTATGCTTTATATTCAGTCTCTTCTCCAGTATACTGCAGTACTGTACTGTACGTGTTCTCCGTCCTTTCTCCCTCCCTCCCTCCCTCCCTTTGTCATCCACTCTTTGTGTTTCCTCTTAATCATCTTTCACATTAAAGGGTGAATTTTCTTTCAATTATGGTTAGTTTACTTGAAATTGTACCTGTAATAACCCTAACCAGTCCTCTGGGTCTTCCTAATGTAAGAGGAACCATAGAGCTGCAGTCTTCACACTCTTGCGCACAGTGTTTTACCATAGACCATCACTGTAATTGTCTTTTATTTTTTATTTTTATTTTTTATTCTCCTGATAAAGGGCAGAGACGGCTGTGGGAGGCTGTGAAAAGGAGGAAAGCCATGTGCAAGCGCAAGTCCTGGATGAGTAAGGTGACCAACATAGACAATCACAGCACACACACAGAATACTCATTTATTATGGGTCATGGTATGCCTGACATTATGTCGCTGTGGTGGCGTCTGTCTGTCACAATGGATACATTCATATGAACACAATAACAACACATGAGGGAAACCTACTGTAATGCTTGAACCACCGTGATCATATTGTGGAACACCTTGCTGAATAATTTTTTATGTGAAGACGTGCTTAAAAGCAGCCTTTACTATAGTGATATTTGTTAATTTGATGCAAGTTTGTTGTTAAGGGGACTCAGTACTGCTGTGCCCTTAAATCGGGGCACTCGGTTCTTCAAATTTCTAGTAACAAATTTCCTGGTATTAGTAGTGGCTGTGTGTGTGTGTGTATGTGGTTCAAATAATTTCAAGATGTTACTTGTACCAGATGCTTCTGGCTTTACTTAGCCTGTCTGGGCAATTTATTATGTTACCATTGCAGACTGTACTGTATGTAGCTGAAACTGTGGTGATTATGAAAAAGTTTTTTTTTTAAATGTGCGTGCATCTGTGGGGATTATTTCTCCAGAGAAGGGAGAGCTTGACATTTCACACGAGGATGTCCACATTCAGACACAGACATGAGTCAGGTCACAAGAGTCGGTGACACAGATTCAGAGTGTGCTGGATTCACTGACATGTTGTCTCATGAAGAATAAAGTTTCTCCTCCTCTTCTTCAGTGACAGAGCAATTAAAGGGTATCAAACAAACACCCAGAGGAATGAAGTGTGGAGAGGAATACTAAGTCCCCAACACTTTTTCTGTGTGTGTGTGTTTGCTGCTCTCACTGGCAGTGGTGATGCCCAGAGGATGATGGTTGTAGTCTATAATTACACCTGTCTGTTTCCACCTCTGGCATCATCCTCCGCTACAGAAATCTTCTTCCTCAGCTCTGTGTGTGTGTGTGTGTGCATGTACTCGTACGGTTATAAATTGTGAGGGCTAGTTAGCATTTTTTGACCAGGGGGGCGAGGACATTTTGGCAGGTCCTCACCTTCTCACTCACATTTAAAGGGCTGTTTCAGGGTTAAGACTTTGCTTTAGGGTTCAGGTTACAATTAGGTTTAGGTCAGGGTTAGGGCAAGGAGCTAAGGTATGCGTTATGTCAGTGAGTGTCCTCACAAAGACAGCTGTACTAATGTGTGTGTGTGTGTGTGTGTGTGTGTGTCCTAATATGCCATAGTCAGAATCTCTTGAATGTCGAGCCTCCTATTAGAAACCCACTTACCACACAGAGGCTACTGAGAGGTGTTGTTTTTAAAAAGGTCTGCAGCATTATGTCATGTCTGGTCCAGCGTAAATGTGAAACCACACTCCACTTGCTACTGTTTATATCTGGCCAATATGTTTGGCACTGGGGATTCACTGACGCCTCTTCTTCACTGATGATGCCATTTCTGAATATTGACCTCTGGATAGCAGCCAATAATGAGTTCACACTTGTTTCATTAAGTCGCTCACAAACATGAACGTATTGCTTTAAATCCAATATTGTTTAATCTTTTATATCCGACTGGTTACATGTTAAAAAAACTAAGGTTTGACGAACTTGTCTGCTTAGCTGATATGCTTATTTAGCTTTGTATCCCCAGTGTCTGACAGCAGCACCGGTTTCTGTGCATTCCTATTTCAGTAAACAGGGCCTCCAAACAAAGGCTTCCCTTAATGGCTCTGCACAGCGCACACATTGTACAGGTTTAAATTTAGTGGAATGGAAAGGTCTTAAGGGCATATATATATACACAGAAATATTCAGGTCACTTAATCTAATAGTGCTTCCTACAGCTACTGTAAGTAATTTCCTGCTGTGCTCTTAGTGCTTAAGCCAAGAGGCAGGAAATTTCTCCCTCTACTAATAATAAGGATATGGTTGTGCTTGTTTGTGTTTTTATAATCATATCCATAGCTTTTGTTTTACTGACTGCATATCCATTAGTTATTGTTTAACACATTCCAGCATATGTGCTGTGCAGTCATTATTCAACACATATACAGATATTACACCAGTGTGCAAATAGAGCTAGTGCCTGTAGTTTTGGTTTAGTGTGTGTTTGCGCATGTTGGGAGTAGAAAGGCTCTTGATTTCCTTCGGCCCAGAGAAGAGCCTGGGGATCAGTGGTGTTTCCTCTGAAGTGACTGCTGGGTGCGGGCCATAACTGGACTCGGCTTTCCAGTCCTCTTCTCACACATCATACACCACACACACTAAGTGCTCGTAGTTTGCAGTGTAGATATGGCCCTTTTTTCTCTCTCTTTGTTTTCCACATTTGCTTACCTCATTACACAGCCAGCTTAATTTTTTTCTTTCTCTCCCTCTGTGTCTCTCCAGGTGTTTAGCGGTAAGCGCCTGGACCAGCAGAGCCAGCCAGCCTCCTCCTTTCGCAAACTGTCTCCCACGCCTCCCCTGGGAGAGGGAGTCCTGGCCACACAACCTGGTAGTGGTGCTCTCCTTGATGGGCAGCAGCAGGCTCTGACCTGCCTCATCCCAGAGAAGGACCTGACGCTGTTTGAGAAGCTTGGGGATGGTTCCTTTGGTGTTGTGAAGAGAGGAGAGTGGCTGACACCTGCAGGGAAAGTGGTGAGGAGACTGACACTGGTCTAAATGATACAGTACTCCAAATAAAAATTTTCATATCCTATATGTTTGAAGATACTTATAAACTAAGAACTTAGGGAGGTCTGTTGCTTGAATTGTGCTGCATGCTTGCATTTTATGGTGATAAGGTGCTTGACTATGTATTCATACTGTCTTTATGATAAGTTTGTGGGAATTTGGGGGAGGGATAGATAATCTGAATGATTTTTTTTTTCTTTGTCTGGATTTCCAGCTGAACGTGGCTGTAAAGTGTCTGAAGACAGATGTGCTCAGTCAGCCTGACGCACTGGACGACTTCATCTGTGAGGTCAACGCCATGCACTCCCTGGACCACCAGAACCTCATTCGCCTCTACGGTGTGGTGCTTACGCACCCAATGAAGATGGTAGTGGACACATAAACACACACACACAGATGTACTGTATACAGAGACAAATAAAAACACATATATTATATGCAGAGATGTCAATAGGATCCTTGCTTTTACTTGACTTGCCTGTACTCTCACTTACATCCACACATACTTAACACATGTTTCTCTCAGGCACTCGCTCAGCTGGCATCATGACGTTAAAATCTATCTGAGTCAGGTCAGGCATCTCAAGGCCTTTGTCATGACCAAAGTGAGTGATATCAGGAGATATGAGGGAGACAGGAAGGGAAGGGAGCAAGTGGATGGAGGGTCAAAATAAAGGTCAACATTTCACCTTTGTTGTGGTCAACCTTGTGTTATCTTTAAGTTTTTCCCTTTGGGGTTTTTGGATTTGCATTGCCAATGGTTCTTTTTTGTCACATTCTCCATTTACATCTTTCTCCTCTGTGTCATCTGTTCTTCTTGCCTTTTGCTGTTTATACCTACATTCCCTCTCTTCACCCGCCCACTCATCTCTCTCTCTGTGTGTTCTGTAGGTGACGGAGCTGGCTCCTCTGGGTTCTTTGCTGGAGCGACTGCGATGTGTTTGTCCACAGGGTCCAGTGTTGATCCACACTCTGTGTCAGTATGCTGTGCAGGTGGCTTGTGGCATGGCCTACCTGGAGCAGAGGAGGTTCATCCACAGGGACCTGGCAGCCAGGTAGGAGACTGAGAGCTTTTTATGGTGGATTCAGTTGGTTCTGGCAGCTATATGTTTGTCATTCTCTAAAAGACATACGTTTCCTTGAGTGTATTTTTTTTTTTTTACTGGTATGATGCATTATTTACATTGTTTCTCCTGCTCCTCCATCCAGACATTCAGAGGCTATTACAGGGAGACTTGGCCCACATGCAAAATGAACCACTGATTGGCTAGCTGTAATGGGTGGTCTAGGTTCTTGGTCTTGCCCAGATTAGTCGTTTTCACTTAAGTGCTGACTTTGTAGATGTTTGAGAAAAACCTTAGTGATTGGTCAAAATGAGTCATTTAAAAAAGTTAAAGCTGTGATAAGATGTTCATGTCTACACATTGTTACAGTATACCAACCACTAACATTTCTCAAAATGCTAAGCAAACTTTTTGATATTGTATAAGATCAAATTTGTTGCATCCCGACTGCACACAGTGCTCAATATCTTGGCAGCATAATGTTAAAAAAGGCTGTAGTGACTATTTCTGAGGTCAAACTGTATAAAAAGCATGCATGTTTAGTCAATTGTTAATATTAATAATGTGTGACTCTTTTCAGGAACATCCTGCTGGCGTCAGCTCACAAAGTGAAGATTGGTGACTTTGGGCTGATGAGGGCACTGCCTAACAACCACGAGCACTATGTCATGCAAGAGAATCGCAAAGTTCCCTTTGCATGGTGGGTGGACAGAAGGAGAAACAAGTAAAGCTGTACTTGAATGTGATCCCACAGTGGATATGAGTGGTTTTAGGGTTTAGGGTGTGAACCTCATTTATTTTATTGCAGACATTTTCCACAGAAACACCAGTCAAAGCTGCGTTCCAGCCCTGCATTAGTTATCAAATGAGGCTTGCTCTGGTTTTTGGCTTTTTTCCAGCTTAATATAAATAATACAATTTTTATTGACATATTTTAAAATGATTTTTATCTGAGTAGCCCCATATAAAAGGCTGAGCACATTCCCTACCCAAGCTGGGCTTTACCTCTGATCAGATATAAGTGGTTTGTTGTGTACCCTGCTTCAGGTGCGCCCCAGAGAGTCTGAAGACCAGAACGTTCTCCCATGCTACAGACACGTGGATGTTTGGAGTCACTCTCTGGGAGATGTTCACACATGGTCAGGAGCCTTGGCTGGGTCTCAACGGAAGCCAGGTAAACACACAGAGACAGATTACAGTTTGTATTATATGCATAAACAAAAATGTTTTGGAGCTAAAATAACACGGGCATTTACCTGCATCCATACTTTCCTCAGTGGTCCTCTATTTCTCCTTCTGATTTTCCTTTATTTCTCTTTTGTGAAAAACCCCTCAGATCCTGCATAAGATTGATAAAGAAGGTGAACGCCTCCCCAAGCCAGAGGACTGTCCGCAGGATATCTATAATGTCATGCTGCAGTGTTGGGCTCAGAAACCAGATGACAGACCTACATTTGTCGCCCTGCGAGAGTTCCTACTTGAGGTAGGAAATCAACCACTTGCCTTCCCAAAAGTGCCTTTTCATGGTGGTAAATATAAGAGTTTTTGTTTAGCTTTATGTTTAATGGTTAAAGGTCCTGCATATTCCTAAATTCCAAATTTTCATGAAAACACACTAAGTGAAAGACAGGTGATTGGCAGTAGTGGCTCCACTTCTGCAAAGAGGCCAGGGATCTCCCAGCAATCCATCATTGAATAAATGCGCTTTAAGCTCCACCTAGTGGACTGACTCCAAAGAAGAACCTGAAAATTGTCCTCAGATAAAATAAGTAGGAGCACCACTGTACCGTTATGGCCCACTGATAAAGGTATGCTGTGTTAAAAGTACTCTGTTGACTCCTGTATGTGTGTCTTTTTCAGACCATGCCCACAGACATGTGTGCTTTGCAGGATTTTGATGAGCCTGACAAACTCCAGATTCAGGTCAATGATGTCATTACCATCATAGAGGGGAGGTGGGTGTTAATAAGAGTTTTAGGGTACGTCTCATGTCTCTTACCAGATGGTTCCTACATCCTTGTCCCTGCATAGAACCCTCCTTCATGGAAGTTTTTTGTGAACCACCAGGCCCTTTTATCAGAAATCAGATGGTCATTGGATGTTTCAGATGAAGGATCTGAGGAAAAGACATCTCGTGTCATTAATAGCATGTTTCCTCGAGTCCTCTCTCCTTGTGTTTTCCTCACATCTTATGTGGGCAGGACTAAGACACAAGGAAAAGATGCAAGTGACAGAAACAACTGTGCTGATAAACAACTTGAGATGTACCTTTAGATTTCAGTTGTTGAGTAAATCTACTTCTCATACATATTGGTTTAAATATTAAATGTATCTTCTTTCATAGCTCTGTAATGTTCACTAATAATAGCTGTAATAACACCATTTTAGAAGATCTGTTAAACTAAATGCACTATATTTTAATTGTTAAGTTACTACAAGGTTCAATTGGATTATTTGATGTGGTCATTAGACCAGCTGCCATAAGGTTTGGTTTGTCCTGGTTCATACTGACCGTGTCTAAATGTTTCAGGGCAGAAAACTACTGGTGGCGAGGTCAAAACAAGCATACCCTTAAGGTCGGCCAGTTCCCCAGGAATGTGGTGACTTCAGTAGCGGGTTTGTCGGCTCACGACATCAGCGTGCCACTCAAGAACAGCTTCATCCACACAGGACATGGAGACACCAACCCTCATCGCTGCTGGGGTTTCCCTGACAGGATTGATGAGTAGGGACCAGCTTCATTTTCATTAACTTTTACTACCATTATATTTTTACATGATTTAAATGTCTCAATTACTTTACAAATACAGAATGCATTGTAATTACACCCTATGCTGAAAGTTGGAGGCCTGTATCAGTTTTTTCTGGGTTGTAGAAGTAATACATTCTCACCACTCGATGGCAGTAGCATGTCATTTTAAATATCCACCAGCTTACTGCAGCACACCCAGGTTAGTTACATTCATCTTACTGACAGTTACTGTACTTAAGTCTGTCTCTCTCTTCCCTCCAGACTATACCTTGGAAATCCCATGGATCCTCCAGATATGCTGGGTTTAGACCCCAATGCAGCTCGGCCCACGCAGCTACCAGGACGAGCTAAAAGTGAGTGGAAGAGAAGGTTTAATCTATTCCACAGTCATGATTGTTTTAACTGACAAACTCTGTAGGCTGTGTCTTCTTTTTATTATTATCGAACCCGTCAGTGTCCACCATCTGGAGTTCAAGCTACTGGCATCACTAACTAATAATTTAGCGATGACATTCTGAGCTAAAACTCAAGGTTGGAACATCGTTGGTGCTACAGCACTGAAGCAGCAGTCTGACTCTCTTTATAGACGCACTCTGTAATTGTTTGACCATATTTGTGTATTACGGGCACGTGTTCATATTCCACTACTGTAGGTTCCAAAACAACACTTGCATTTCTCAAGTGATCATAATTTAAAATATAGAGGTGCTCACCTCTGTAACTATAACCGTAACTACTGTAATGTAGTTCTGGTTATTCTAAATGTGTTCCAAGTTTGGTTATAAGGCTACTCTGTTGTTTAAAATGTAAACACATACAGTTTGTGGTGCAAAGTATGGGCTGCAGATGGATGCTGCGTTGGAAGAAACACCACCCAAACAGTTTCCTTTTCTTTTTCTTTTTTCTAACACTTGTTTGAAAAGCTTACATATGTAATATGACTTTTGCTTCCTAACTGTTTTCTGATCTTTCTTTCTTTGTTGCTGTCATTTTTGTTTACCCTGTCTGTTTCTCCTTTGCGGTGGCTGCATCTCTTTTTATTTTTCCAGAGGAGCCTCCTCCTCGCCCTCCCCAGCCAGCAGTGTTAATCAAGAGTAAGTCTGGTTTCTCTCAGCAGCTCCTCACCCATTGCTCCTGTCCTCTCTGTTCACTCCTAGCTTCACTCTTCAAAGGTACATCCCATATTTTTCATCTTTCCTTTGTCTTTGCAGTGAATCTGTCATTTGCTTTTATTTTTTTCACATCATTGTTTCTTCATCTCTCCACCTGTGTCCTTCTAACAGGTGTGTGGTGTCCTTGCTGTGCAGTATAGGAGTAACTTCGAATCCAGAGGCTTTTTTTAGTGTGTGTCTTGTATTTTGTGGTATGCAGTGACCGTGGACAGTTATGTTACAAGTTTCTCTGCTATTTTCAGTGAGGTGATGAATGCATTGTATTTATGTCTCCAGAGCCTTGCTATGATCCAGTAAATGGGGATGAGTATCTGACTTCTGCTGGGCTAAAGAAATTATCACTTCGGAAAACGGGTTCCATAAAGGGCTTAAAACTTAAACCTGCTGCCTGGGTCTCTGCTTCCAAACAGGGGAGTAGTCGGACATTAGGGTCAGGCTACAACCCCAACAATGAACTGTCCCTCATTGACTTTGGGGAGGAGGTCCCCACATCCACATCCTCCCCCTCCTCTATGGTTGAAATTCAGATTCCCTCACTGGCAAAGCTGGCTCTGGAAGCAGAGAACATCTTGGACCGAACTCCACCTCAAAGTCCTTCTAGATCGTTGCCCCGCCCCCTTCACCCCACACCAGTAGTGGACTGGGATGCACGACCATTACCCCCACCGCCAGCCTACGACGATGTAGCTCAAGATGAAGATGATATGGAGGTATGGTAGGAGGTGATACAGGAAACTTCACAATGTGACAAAATTTCATTGAAATGTAAATGTTTATCTCCTAGATCCATTGAAGAATTTATTCAAGTTGTAAACTGTGTTTTGAATTTTTCAAGAAACATGTTAAATATTCTTACTCCACAAAGGTGAGCTCCATCAACAGCTCGGAGCAGCAGCAGCTTGAAGAGGAGAACAGTGATGTTCGTAACCTCGATGAGGCTTTGTCATTTGGACAAAGGGTGGACAGTGAAGTTCCTTTCTCCAGAGCTCCAGACAGACCAGGCCTAGAGGACAACCTCTTTTTCTCCACCAAGCAGAGCCACAGCCTGTCCACATCTTTCTCCCAGTCTGCAGAGATCTTCCAAGAACTCCAGCAAGAGTGCATGAGGAGGCTCAATGTACCGCTGGGATGCACTGCTCGGTCAAACTCACCATCCCAGACCTCATGTCCCCAGACTCCTCCAAACCCCCAAACACAGGAGGGACAACAGCACAATGTCTTCTCCCGCAATGAGGACAAACCCCAGATCCCCCCACGTATTCCCATCCCCCCTCGCCCCATTAAAAGGTGTGACTACACATCTGCTCGCTGGTCAAGAGACCTCTCCCTGTCCCCAACACCAGCTGACACTACAGAGAATGTTTTAGGTCCAGGTCAGGACCGACCACCTCAGATCCCTCCCAGGGACCCTTTGTCCCAGCCGGGCTCTAGGACTCCCAGCCCCATGGGCCTGGTAGTGGGCTCTCCCCAGCAGAGAGTCTACTCTGTTAGCCCCACCTCCTTCCAGGCTCCCCTCAACTCCTGCTCCACCACACACACCTACAGCTCCTACCTCTCCACCTCTCCAGGCAAACTAATGCCTACCACACACAGCTTTGCCTCAGATCCTAAATATGCTGCACCCAAAGTAATTCAGGCACAAGGAAAGGACCCCGCCAGCAAGGCACCCTGTATCCTCCCTATTGTCCGTGATGGACGTAAAGTCAGTAATACCCACTATTACCTTTTGCCAGAGAGGCCACCATACCTTGACCGCTTTGACCGGTTCTTCAAAGAGGCAGAGAGCCTTCCTGTCAGTGGTATGGAGGACAGACATGTACGGCAAGTTAACACCGCTACCGTCAGACCCATGGTGGTCAGCATCCAGACTGTCCAAGGACATGCCCAGGAACAGGGGCTTGTCCAGCAAGGCGAGCTGAAGGCCAATTTCTCCTCCAACAATAACAGCAGTCTGGGTGGACCATGGTCAGGGCTGAAGACATCAGTTAGTCTCTCTCCCGTCTGTTCAGATGGGCCGACTGCCCCAGTGGTCACTGCTGCCTGTACCAGAACAGATGGAGGAGGCAACTCAGCTGACAGGGTCAAAATGGTAAGGTCAGAGATATTTGAATTGCCTTTCGCAAGCTGTAATTTGAAATATACTGTTTTTATAATTTATTGGCTTCAATCAGGGGCTGAAAGGTATTGTTAATTGGTCCAGTAAGTAAAGTGTTAAGCTTGTTCACGTCCTCTCTAATGATGGATGCCAAATCCATGCAGTGGGTTTACCTGCAGTATAAGGCAGACCTCATGGACAGCTTTAATTTATAATGATTACCTTTTGTTAATACAATAAGAAGTAGAGTCCCTCAACAGATGCCATCCATTCTTAGTATATAATAATGGGTAATCATCATTTAACTTGTAAACTGAGCTTTCATATGAGTGCTGCCTCATTCTTTGGCATATTCAATTGTCTGTTATTCACTTATGAGATTAAGTTATTATAGCACAGCAAAAAGCATAAATAATCAGTGTAATGCTCAGGGTCTAAAAAGTAGACCAAGACAAATAAATGTATGATTACTTTTCCTTAAGAAACTGAAAAAAGAAGTGAGTGATTTGCAATTACTAGTATATAGACTAGTAGTGTTTAATTGCTCAAATCTATTATAATTGAGCAGTTACCTCCTATTCATCTGCAAATCATAATCAGAGCTAAAATTATGATTGATGTATAACAATTTTCACACTGGAGCTGAACTTATGAAAGGCAATGAATTAGACTAATTAAACAGAATGTTCCAGTTTAATTTGATTTCAGCACCAAACTTGGCAGCATAAAAACACCTTGTTCCATTTCAGTCACAATGAAAAATAACAAAAATGTAAAAACTTCCCCTAACCTATTTAAAAATATGCTAGTGTTGTTCAGAGCCAAAGGCCTTATTAACTTTGCTGAGAATTGAATTTAAAATAGCTTGATTGGTTCTTTTTATTCCCTGATTAATTCTGGCACCAAATGAACCTGACTGAACTAGAATCAGTATCACTGCAAAGCAGAAGGCTAAACACTGATCAGGCACTTGGCATTTTGTAGTGGATACTAGGTGCAAGTGGAATGTTGGATATGTGTAAAACTGCTGAGGAGTCGAGTACAAGAAATAGTGTCTGCAGTAGTTTAAACAGTAGTAGTAGATACAGGATAGGTGATGTGGTGGTATTGTTAATAGTACAGGTATCTTGTTCATAAAAATAGAAAAGAAATACTGACAACAAATGAGTAGGGTGCTAGAAAGTCCAGCTACATCCAGGGACACAGTGCCAGTGTTGAGCCGTTTTCAGACAGGACGCAGTATGTGCTGCGCTCGCCATGGGTGCAAGCACGGGGAAGAGGTCACACGCACACAAATCACACACAGGTCGGGCTCCAGTTGCTGTGATTAAATTTTAGCATTCTGGTTCTTTCAATCAGTTTTTTCAAAAAAAAAAAAAAGCTTTTAGTTTTTTGGCACTAATCATAAGATAAGTGGCAAAGTGTTGATTGAGTGGTGGTGTGTGATTCAGGTGCAGGATGCAGTTCATGGTGTAACAACAGAGGAGTGCAAAGCCGCCCTCCAGAACCACAACTGGAATGTCCAGGACGCTGTACATTACCTTAAGGTGAGAACATTCATTAGTACACTGAAAAAGGTTAATGTGCTGCAGCCAATTACTAGCATGTTTCCTCTTTTATGTTCAGACTGATTCTATAGTCATCACAATATATATTTTACAAAAAAGAGCGATAAGAATTGTGCATAAGATGAGATATAGGGATCACACCAATGTAGCTTTCATACAGTCTAAATTGTTAAAAT